TTGATTTAGAGAAATATTCTTTTCATTAGAAATTAAGAGCTGTGTAAACATCAAAATGTTAAATGAAGTTTAAAATACTGAATTTATTTCTGCTTACTAATTCTTTTCAGTTTTCTGTTAAATATGGTATCATTGTGCATATGGAGGTTAAATCCATCTAAGTCATTTATTTTCTGTTTTTCTTGATGCAGTTTTCTCAGTTAGAAAAAGACCAAATTTTCAAAATAGAAGTATTAGCAGCCAGCAGAGGTGTCTGAGATGGAATAAATATTTATTAACTGCTATATAGTTCATACTATTTGAGGACAGGTTTTTACTTTGGGTTACTCATTTTTTAAACAGTGAACTTCCTGTTCTTCAGAATCTTTTTTTCCGTAGGTGTAACTAGTTATGCTGAAATTTTGTGTGATTGCTAGCGCCGCCCCCTGCTTCCTTCCTGCCTGTCAGTGATTTGCTCTACCCCTGCAAGTGTGCTTGCACGGCTGCCATAGCTCCCTACAGAATGTGTTGCAGAATTAGCACTTTAAAAACTGCAAATGCAATGTCCTTATCTATTCTGTGGCATTTGCATGAAATTTAGAGGAACAACTCAGTCAAATTTTATTATTTTTGCTCTGTGCAGAAAGAAATTCTGTTTTATTTCGGTGTAATTGCTGCAATGAAGGGGAATGGAAAATTGTTGGTGCTGGTACCCCATCTGTTTCAGGCTGGAATATAGGCCAGCTCCAGTTACTCTGCGTAGTGTCAGTTTTGTCTATGGTCTTACTGTCGTCCTTGCAGGAGGCTTGCTGAGTTCTGGTTTGATTCACACTTTTCCTCAAATTGGCTCTTTTGAGCATCGCACTAAGGGAGCAAAAAGCATCAAAAAGCAAAAGGGTGCCTCCGAGCACCACGAGTCAGCCAGGCAAGTTTACAAGCTGATGCACTTGTGAAGCCGCTCTCAGCTTTACCAAGGCTTTCCTCTCACTGGCAGCACAGCCCGGAGCGGGTGGTTGCGAAGCCCCTGTGTCCGCGCATCCTTCCCCCTTCCCCTCTCTCAACACAAATTTTGGCCCCCACCTCCCGCACCCGGCGTGTGGGGTGCAGCAAGGCAGCACCAGAAAGAGCAGGGCTTCACCAGTGAGGCTGTGGCGGTGCCGTTCACATGACTAATGCTGAGAGAGATAGCAGGGTGGTTTTTTTCTTTTTTCCTTTTTTTTTTTTTTTTTTTTTTTTCCTGTGTGTGTGTGTGTGTGAGCGGCTCCAGTCTATGCACAGTTGGCTCCCAGCTGACAGACAGGATGTGGGGTGGGCTTTGTCACCAGCGCGCCGGGCGCTGTGTGCCCGGCTATGCTGGCAATTACACAGTGCCCAGAAACCTGCTGCTCATGTCAGGGTGCAGGCAGCCCGAACACATAGAAATTGGGTAGCTTTATTTTTTTTCTTTTTTTTTTTCTTTTTTTTTTTTCCTCTTTCTTCCCAGTAAAGGTTATATAATGAGGGGATTGCTGCTAAAGTAAAAGGGAAAATGAAGTCTTTGTTAAATGCCTTCACAAAGAAAGAAGGTAAGCGATGCAAGCAGAACACTTTGATGTTTCAGACTGGTGTTTTCTTGTGTACATTTAATATGATCGGCTTAGTGACTCTATAATTAATCAGTTCCTGCAGTTTCGTTTTCAAAATTATTTTATGCTAGACAATCCATTTAGGCAACTGCTTATGAAGGCTGGATGTGACTTTATTCATTTAAGGTTTTCTCTGAAGTAGTTATAGAAATGTTTTGTTCCCTAAGAAAATCATTTGAAGACACGTAAGGAATTTCCTGAGTGAATATTTGTCAGTGGCTGCTGCTGAATTACCCCTTCAGATGTATGAAATACCAGTAATAGAAGAATGCTGAGAGCTGGAGAAAGAATTAAATGATGCTTTCAGGCATGCTTTTAGAGATGATAATTTTAAAGTTTAGGGGCATGAAATTAGTTCAGTCATTTTCATGTCATTTTATATCAACTGTTTTTCCCAAACAAGTTTTGCAACAGTTATTCTTACAGTTGTGAACATACTGAGATATTAGGAAGTGATGGTGTCCAACAGGGCTTAAAGTGTGGACATTTGCATTCCATCATTTTGTGTTGTAGTTATTTTTTATTGTGCAAATAATATAAATAATGACTATAAGAGCAGCTAAAAAAATATCCACCCACTTACAGTTTGCAGATTGCTGGGGAAAAGAAACAGTTGGGTGGAATATTAATCATTTTAGGCATGGAAATGCTTATTTTTAACTCTTTCTATAAAAGATTTGTTAGACACACGTCAATTGGTGTAATTAGTTGTCCCCTTTCCTGTTTATTTTCTGTAGTAAGGGCTGATTTAGCTTGTAATTCTCTCCTTAAGAACAGAGCATTAATAGCAAATCAGAAACTAACTCCCAAATGTAAAATCTCTTTCAGATGTGTAACAGAAAAAGAGCTAATTTAATGTGATACCTGGAGAGCGTGCATACATACAAAACACACACTATTTTCCATTGGGAGTGAATGCACTGTCCTGTGCTTTTTCAAACCTGCTGGCATGAAGGTGCTCAGCAGCTCCCCACTGTCCTGTCCCCGTCCTGAGCACCCTGCCCTCCTGCTGCCACCACTGTGCATCCCACCAACTGCAGAGCTTACAGCAAATTGTCAAAAACCATGGGCAGTTTTTAGCTTCATAGAGCTGTAGCTTAAAGGCTTGGCAGCCTGCTTTGAATGTTAGCAGTTTAAAGTGGTGAAAAATTCAAGTCTAAGGGTCACAGCCCATTTTTATTGAAGTCTAAGACAAACTTTGGTTACCTGAAGGGAACAAGGCTACTCTTTCAGATAGCAGCCCTGTATCTGCCGTGCATTCTCTGGTTTTGTGTGATTTCTCCTGTAAGAAAATTATGACAGTAGCTGTTCTGCTGTGTTGTTCCTGAGAAAGATTCTTGTCGTCAATGAAATCATTTCCAGAGCCATATTCTTATTGTTGGACATCCAGAAATGTACAAAAAACACATCTATGTCATATATGTTGATCAGAGGATCTGTGTATGTTAATTTTAGAAATAAGTGCTGTGAGTTTTCTTTAAGTTAATACTAACTGTGGCTTTTACCATGGCATTTGAAGCACAAAGGTACTTTCAGAGACATACTTTGCTGCTTTGTAACCCTACAAAAATATGAAAGACTCGGAATATCCAGAAAATTATACAGTTTCTGCCAGTCTCTAGCCCAAATATTGGACTACTAAGCTTTATCCCCTTTAGCAGCTTTTCAAGACTACTTCTCTTATTTCAGCTTTGTTTCAAACATATTATGGAAATGAATTTAAAGCCCTTCCTCCCCGTGCACACTGTTCTCTTTTGTTTGGTTGTTCTGACGTTGTTGAGCTATTTACCAGAGAAAGTTTAGAAATATGAAGGATGCTATTTTAAAATTCTCAGAATCACAATTAATCATATAAGAATTCTGATGAAAAAATATAAACTAATCTTCTACTTGCAATTACACCTTTATTTTATGTTATAAATATGCTTTCAATTTTGCTCTAGAACCTTGAATTTTGCTGTGTCCTCCCAGTTAAAAGCTATCTGTCAAGGCAGGACAGATTGATTCCTGTGTATATTCATATTTTTGTGAATTTATTTACTTGCAGAGGATGATAGACACATTCTAATTCTGTTATTTTGTGTGGTTTTGAAGGGCATTGAATGTGCAGACATTTGTGACACTTTACAAATGGCACTTGCTGGCACTTTAGACATATAGGTGATGCTCTGTGAGGCTTCTTTCCCAACTGAAATAAGATTTTGAAAATTACAACAGTTCAGTAAAGACCTCAGAATGACGCCTGGCTCTCTTCTGTTAGTTATGCTATTGGGACTTTTCAGATGTAAATACTTGCACTTTGGATCAATCCTGCAACCCCATGAGTTCCACTGGAATTTATGAGAGTAGTTGCATGAATGGGGACTGGACTAAGTGTAAGTTTTCAGGGTCAGATTGCTTACTGCCTTATAAAATAAGTAGGAAATGCTATCATTTCTAGTGTGAGTTGGATGCCTTTTTATTAGGAAATCCTCCTTTTAAGTTGCATTTGCAAGTAACTGACCCAGTACAGTGAGAAATGGAGATCTGGAAAACGTAGTCTGCTTCTCTGAATTCTTGTATGGCTGCAACACTCTACTAATAACAGCGATGAAAGGGTAGGCCCTCTGGTTTGTACTGGGTTTTTATTGCCCTTGCTTTTGTTTTCTGTTATGACTGTTTCATTAACTAGCATATTGCAGCCTTTGGATACAGTCGTGCTCTCCCTGGGACACAGCACGTGACAATGTGAGTGTATTACCCTGGGGTAATATGCTCCATATACAATAGTAATAGATGCAGTAGAAATGCCTAGATTAGAAAGAGAGGAATATCAAGGGATTATAGCGGTGTAATAGAGTTCTGCCAGGAGAAAAATCTATGTCCTCGATTTTTAACCTGGAAGATGGGGATAAGGTGACTGTTAACACTACAGATTTCAGGTTAGGCCTGAATTTGAGATGGAACAAAATTCTCCCAGCTTGGATGCTGATTGGAGAAGGAGGTTGGGAGATTGTGCACCAAAACTTCTACTGATCAGCCACATTCATTGGCTTTCTGACTGAAAATGAGGGCATAGAGTAAATATGAGCAGTATGACACTCAAACTAGGTGATAATTAGGTGTTTCCCTTTACCTAGACCATAATTCAGACTGCTCTGCATGCTCACATTGCTAGCATTGCCCAACTATTTATTAAAACTAGTAAACAGTTTAATATTGGCCAGTTGTTTTCAGTTTTAATGATGTTTTGAAGATAATGAATTTGATTAGATATTCAGGCAAGGTAGAGTTTCTGTCTCTGAAAAACACAAACAAAAACCAACACCATATGTTACTAAATCTTTTTATGGGGTTGTAAGCATGTATAAATGGTAAATTCATCTGTGATTACTCTGTATGTCTTTCTCTACACAGTGCCCTTTAGAGAGGCTCCTACCTACTCAAACAGAAGGCGGAGACCCCCAAGCACCTTAGCAGCACCCCGTATCTTACTTCGTTCCAACAGTGACAACAATCTGAACATCAACAACCTCCCTGAGTGGTCAGCCTCCTCTTCTGCCTCTTCCCACCGCAGCCTTTCTCCTCATCTACTTCAACAGATGCAGAATAATCCTAATGGAACTGTAAAAACTGTGGGGAGTTACACTCCATCCTCCCGAAGCCGGTCACCATCCCTAAACAGGTTGGGAGAGGATGCCAAACGGCAGCAGCACAGGCACATCAGGTGAATTTAAAATATTTGTACAGTAGGAGATCTTTTAATAGCTAAAATAACAATTATATTTAATAGCCACGTAAAATATTTCTGAGATGCTTGGTCCCTGGAGAAAACTATTGGTCATGCCTGAAACCTGGGTTGGATCTGCTTATGGATGATGAATCAAGGACTGTTTCTCTTCTGCAGAAGAGTTCTGAACCAAAGAGGAAACCATAGGGAATAACTGAGGGGAATAAGTGGGGCTATACAGGAGACTGACTGAGAGCAAAGGGAGCTTCTTGAGATGTTGGTGATAGGTGTCAGGGGCTCTTTTCATGATTATCCTAGATGCAGGGTTTTTGCATTCCCTAGGACTTTGCTGCTTTCTTTCCTCTCAAATTATAAATGTGATTTAGCAGGCACTCTGCAAATATCCTGCAGCTATGTCCCACTGGAGGGCAAATCCTGACTAATTAGAGTGATGTACATATTACAAGTAATATAATTAAGTAGATGATTGTGTCTATGTTTTGATCGCAAATGGGGGCTTCAGCTTTATGAAACCACTGTCCTGTGAACAGGTAATTACAGCTTCTCTTTAAGGAGGATGTGGGAAATGCATCTGTCAAGTGTGCAAGTGATGGAGCTGCACGAGGATGATAAGCCAGAAGGGTTAAAGCTTGGGGCTAGAAAAATGAAGGGAGGCAGAGCTGGGTACTGATGGAGAGAATCAGAGATTAAATGTTTTGATGAAACATGTTATATTCAATTGTCATTTAAAATATCGGGTTTGTCTGTCCTGTTTCCTAATACCCAAAATCATCCATTTGTCAGTGCACAAAAAGCAAGAGTTTTGTTAATCAATGCAACTGCTGGTTTTTCTTTGTAATTTGTAGGTATCTGGATCTTTGCTTGCATTATAATTCTCTTTGTCCAGAGAAGGGCTACGAAGCTGGTGAAGGGCCTGAAACACAAGTCCCATGAGGAGCAGCTGAGGGAACTGGGGGTGTTTAGTCTGGAGGAGACTCAGGGGAGACCTTGTTGCTTTCTACAACTACCTGAAAGGAAGGTGTGGGGAGCTGGGGGTCCGCCTCTTCTTGCAGATAACTGGTGATAGGACTAGAGGGAATGGCCTCAAGTTGCGCCAGGAAAAGTTCAGGTTGGAAATGAAGAGACATTTCTCCTCAGAAAGACTAGTGAGGCATTGGAACGGGTTGTCCAGGGTGGTGATGGTGGAGTCACCATCCCTGGGGATGTTTAAGTAAGGGTTGGACCTTAGAGTTGCTTAGGGACATAGTTTAGTGGGGGATATTGGTGGTAGGGTGTTGGTTGGACCAGATGATCTTGGAGGTCTTTTCCAACCTTAATGATTCTATAATGTAGTTAAAGATACCTTGCATGTTCTTATTCTCTCTTTGGCTGTAGATGCCTAAACTGACAATAATTATATGCACTGGTAACAATATTGCTTGGGAGTGGAAATATGGTGCTTTGTAAGAAACAAACAAACAAAAAAATTAAGCCAATAGTTTCATTCAGTAGACCAAACTACTGTTACTGTGCTATATGTTACAATAATGTCAAAAACTCATTTGGTAATAATCTGGATGGCACCTAACAGAGAACCATATCAGCTTAATAACATGTTGTCCATAATGAAGTTTCACTTAGGTGAGGAGGTTTTTGCAAGATGGTTTTTGCAGAATGAGTGCCCTCATATTCTACTGAGCACCGCTGATGCCACCAAAGTGGGAGGATCTACATTGCACTCGGAGACAGCTTTAGCTAGAAGGGAATTAAAGCACCTTTACATCAGTATCCCTGGGATAACAGGCTTCTGCATTCCTAGAGTATAAACAGTTCTTTCAGGGAGGGAAAAATTATTTAAAAAAAAAAGTTTTGAATAAATATTTGAGTAATGTTTATTTGCTCTGGCTTTATTTAGCCACTTTCCTCTTCCCTTTCTGGGAGCCCATGATTTTGAAAACTTTCATGAATGATAGTGGAAACAAATTTCCTACCTGAAATGTTGTGGTGATGAAATGGTGGTCTTTCTCTTAATGTGTCAGTATGACAGGTGCATAGACAGCTGTCCAGCTGAAGATCTCTCTGTGATAAGTTCCATCAAGACTTGTTTCAGAGATGTCCAGAGCACCCAAAAGCACTCGGAAGACAACTGGAACTCTCTAAATGTAAAGTCAACCAAAACCAGCTTACATACAATCTCTTCCTGCAGGCAGTGCTTTTTCTTGCTGCAGGCCTATTTTGCAACCCTGAATGGCACCTTACATGACACTTTCCTCACAGATTTTATTTAACTGTAAGACTACCTACTTACTATCAGCTAAATGTGGGAATTGTTGCTGTCTCTGCTTATTATTTGAAAATAATACAATCACCATGAAGCTGTTGCTCCCCTTAGCTGACAAAGACCTTTTTGACATCACCACAGATTGGATTTTGAAGCAGCAGCAGCAGAAGGGGCAGGGTAACAGAGAAGGTCAGAGTGCAGCTGGGGGTTAGCATCACCAGAGGGTTAATGAGGTTTCAGAAGGCTGTTTGCCTGGTGGAAAGGAAAGAGACGGAGAGTGGTGCTGCAGGGGTCCTTGTGATCATTGCAGCCTGTCACTCAGGTGTTTATCTTCTCACCAGGCTGCTGCTTTCCACACCAAACTGGTGTTGTGAGGGGCTGAGAGAGGCTTGGGAACCAGCATCATGATTAGTGAAAGGAAGTGCCTGCACAGACTCAGTCAGGGCTGAGCTGTCTGGGGTGGCCACTTTCTGGGTGAGAGGGAAGCACATCTGCGCGTCTTCTGAAATCTGCACATCATCCTTCAGCTCCTTCATGGCATGGGATGTGCTGGGCTGGGAGCCCAGGCCTGGGGTGCAGAGGGAAAGAGAAGATCTTTTTAAAGAAGTCATCACTCCTATGTTGTAGCCATGACATCCTTTAGTAAGTCTGTCCTGTGAGAGAAGATGACTTCAACGCAAAGCTTAAATGTGCCATTCCCCCCTCCTCTTTCAGTAAGAGAAAATGAACAGTCTGTGATAGGAGGTAAATACAATGCTGCTACCTAGTTGCTACCACATTAAGCAGAAAATGCAACTTGATACTGGTGGAAGTCAGATGTTTAGCAATACTTTATTGATCTGGATTGTTTGCAGTTATGACTGTTTCTTCACCTAGAATGAAAAAGGAATGTAACAAAAGAACAGAAAACTAAATGTCTTTTGCTGTCTTGCTTTATGCAACTGTGAGAGCCAGCTGAGGTTTCTGATGCAAATTCCTTGACAGACTTGCAACCAGAGTTCACTTTTAAACATTTAAGGACTGCTTATCTTTACTAGCACCTGTTCACAGTAGTAGAAAATCATGACAAGGTGAAAGAAAGACACTATTTCAAGCGGTGAAGAAGTTACTGCAGTAAAATGGAAGTGTTCCTGATAAAGATCCACTATGATTTTTAGTTTTGAGGTTTTTGTGTATGTTTGTGTTTGTTTTGTTTTGTTCTTACTAGACAACTTATTTACCTATATTGAGAACCTCACTGACTCCTATTTTGGTAGGTGATTGGTTACAAAATAATGAAGGGTTGAAAACAGTAAGCACCAGCCTTCATAATTCATTTGGTTTATAGCAATTTGAGTTCAATTCTTTCTTCTTAAAATAACATGGAGTGTTGCAGTGCTTGACCACCAATTACTTGTCTTCTTTTGGTACTCTTCAACATCTTTATGAATATTTTTTCTCACAATTAACTTCTATTTCTAGACTTTGTGTAAGACCTCAAGTTTTTGCATTTTTCTTGTAAGTTAAATAGCAGGGTATTGGAATTTTTTTGTAATATATCCTATAAGTTTTTCACTTTCTAATATTTATAATATTTCCACCCTCTTTCTCATGCTTTATTTTTGACAATTCACTCATTTTTCTGGGGTTCTAATAATGATCTCATTTCTGTGAGCTCTCATTGTGAGAGCTATTGATTACCACAAATAAGTAATGATCTTTTGGAGAATACTTTAGCCATAAGGACCTTGCTTTGTGCACATTCAAATCTAACATTTAGCTGCAGGCCTTGGAGTGATGAAGTAATTTGATTATTTGGTCCATAGTAGAGTATGAAGTAACTTAAGTATTCAGTCTGTTCAGTCAATAATTCAGTTGTCTCAATTGTTCAGTTAACATTGCAATGTTACAGAGATACCCATTCCCAACAAAAATTGTAAATATTGATGCTTAAAAGTGTTTCTGATAAATTGTGGTTCTTGTAATGTATGGTTTGCAGATAAATTTTAAAATTCATCTGGGTCTGGAATGTGCAAGTTCAATTTGTAGAAAAACTAAAAACTTTGGTGTTGTTTGTTTTCTTTTATAGGCCAGATGTTCAGATGCATATTTATAATGTTTCAGACAGAAAGATTTCAACAATTGAAAGAGTGTGTTTAGGATGAAAAACATGTATTTTTTTTCTGTAGGTTTAGATGTCTTACTGGAAGATGATTATGCTATTCACTGCTTAATATAATCCTAACAATGTGATGGTAGATAATTAACTTTGATCATTTTAAATAACCTTTTATATATATATATATGTAATTTCAATTTCCAGTGCCGTTTACGGTCCTAGTGCCAACAAGGATCCTCTGTCTGCCTTGGATTATCAGGGTCCAAAGCGCAAGCTTTATAGTGCTGTACCTGGAAGACTTTTTATTGTCGTAAAGCCATATCAACCTCAAGGAGAAGGGGAAATTCATCTGCACAAAGGAGATAGAGTAAAAGGTAAGTAAGTAAGTAATTTCGAATAAGTACTCTCTTCTGATAGATGTAAATTTTAACATTCTTTTCTATTTTAGGAAAAAAAGTCTGTCTTGTGTTCAACAGAAATACTTTTATGCATTTTTTTCTTTAGAGGGTATTTTACTCCTAGTTCTTCTTTGTAACCAATGCATTTTTGGCTACCATTTCAACTGAGATTTCAAACTATTAGTAAAATTCAAAAATCTATGCAGAGATAGCAGCATTTTACACAGAACATGTAATTGGCTTCTGTAGTCATTTTAAAAAGATAACATATCAGAGCTTCCAAACTTTGTAAACTTATCTGGTATCCAAGCAGCTCAGGAAGGAAACAGTGATAGGGTCAAGTCTGTCTCAAGCCTTTTCCACAAGGAACAATTTATTGGTTATATAGAAATAGTCTCCTCCCAAGACTTATGATAAGCAGGCAGATAGAGTCTAGTTGTAAATATTCTAGGGAGAAAGTATAGTGGTGCATATACAGTTTCTTGCTACTGGTGCACTTTCCAAACAAGATGTTAAAATCAAGGTCAAAGTTTGTGTTATTACTTTGCAGGCAATAAGTAATTCCAGGTTTACACTGAGAGAGTGGTAATGTGGCTTACAGGATTCAGCTTCCTAAGGGTGTGTTGTTAACACAGTTTCATCTGTGGTATTGCACATCCAGCTGAAACTTGAATTAAAGGATTTTCTGCCCAATCTATACAAACATAATTACTGTTATAGAAGGCAAATAAAAGGGAATAAATTCATTATGCTAAATAAAAATGTTAAACATATTAATTTTTTCCTGAAACTGAAACTAATCTTTCAAAGGAAAATATTTCTTCTTTCTGATCCTATGAGTAGTAGTTAGGAATAATCAGGGAGCCATTAGGAAGCATTTTTTCTGTTTTGTATTTTTGGAAATGGTTGATTCTTGAAGCATTTGAGGGTTAAATAATTTTTTTTAACTGAGGTCTACAGAAGGCATAGAGCAAATCTCGAGTGCTGCACTTTAAAGATAAAGCATTTGCAAGATGTATTTTAAATGCAAAGATGAAGGAGAAGGGTTAAATTTAGGAGAGGTGGTGACTGCTACAGGGCTGAAAAGATAACATTTCTGGGAGATTGTGCTCTGATCTGGTAGGAAGCAGTGATTATGAGCAAAATAAAACAGCGCACAAGGAAAAAAAAGTTTGGAAGAGCCAATATGAACATTTGATAAAACATTATAGAAGTTATCAAGTAATGGGAATTATATAGGCTAGAGTAAACTTAAGAAAGTCAATCAAAGCTTTTAAGTTATAGAATTTCTTGGGAATGCCAAATATCAAATGAAGTTCAACTCACAAGAAAACAGAACTGGCTTCAAATTCAAACAAAATTGAGAATGCTTGGTATGGTTTGGGAACCAAATTTGTAAGTATTCAGTATATGAGAATAAATGCAAGAGAAGTAATGCATAATATCACTTCACAAAAGCCTTCAAGTTTCAAAAGAATAGGTACAACCCAGAGAAAGGTAAAGTTACATTATGAGTAACTGTCATGCAAAACATAAAGCAAATTGAACGCAAATGTGATCTTTCAAACTTTTACATAAGAATACTGAAAATGTGAAGGCCTGGCGTCTTGTATGGAGTTTGTTCACACTGAAAGGGTAGAGAAACAAAACAGTAGAGAAAGGTGCATGTTGGTGAATTACAAGAAAATGAAAAATTGTTGCATATAGCAGAAAGAAAATGACAACAAAAAAGTGAAACTTAAGCATGCACCATAACTTTTTGCTTATGCATAATCTCAGAAAATTTAATACCAGGAGAAAGAATTGCTGGTTCCTACTAAAGGTTAAATTTGTGGAGTTATGAGTGGTACAAAATACCTTTCAGTATCAGGCATGTTAGTAGGGTTCTACTAGATGCCAACAAATAAATAATGAATATAGTTGGCTCTTTGGGGGCCATTGCATCCCTATGCAACTGTGTTCAACTGAGTTGCTGGTTTTAAAGATGTGGTAATATTTTTCTTTATGAAGAGGATGTAAGATCAACATAGACCATAGATTCTTGTAACCAGAATAAAAAAACAGAGACTCCAGGCAGTTCTTGAGGATGGCAAGACAGAAAATGTGTTCCCCGACAAAAGTGGAAAAAGTATAACACATTGCTTAGGATGCCGAAGTTTGTAAAGACATTCATTACCGGGCTGCTTGTTTACATTGGAATTTATTACATATATAAAAATATCCAATGAACAAGGGATTTAAATTTCAATGAAGAGTTTAATATTTACATAAACGAATTCAGGAGCCCTTTGTTCTAAGTTACTGTGACAGTAGCTGGAAAACAATGCAGGAAGAAATTTGTTCATTTTTCAGATCTTCTTACGATAGGATGGTCAAAACTTGAAACCAGTGATTTTGTGGGGGGATGCTAACTAAAGAATGTCAAAATGGTGAACTAGAAAGTGGGGAAAATATATGTTTATTGAACGTTACTATAAATTATTTATTACTGTTACAAAAAGCAGGACATATCCATCTAACATCTAATCATCCCTACAGGGATGTTTCAGCTTCCAATACATGATTTGCACATTGAACTAAAAGCTTGCAGAGATCTAGCATTTGTAGACACACTTGTTTTAGAACATTTTATAGAACTTTGATACAGTGAAGTCTAGTGAGACTTTTTATACATGTCAGTGCTTTTAGGAAAAGCTTGGAAATAGAAAAAAAAATAGTGCTACTAAGGATAAGGTCTTTCTGAGTGTAATTTAAGGCTGTTTGCACAGAAAGGCTGGAACACCACATCATAGTCTCCCATTACTAATCAAAGGAACAAGTTTCAGAAGCAGATCAAACCCTATTTTGTGTTACCAGTTCCTCGGGTGTCACAAAAAATATGTCAGAATGCACACAACAAGGTCATGTAGAGAATGAAGAGTCCAGCTAAAAAGATGGTGATGCTTTAAAAAGGTCTCAGTTGGACAACAGTATGGAGGAAGAATTCAAAGTTACCATGTTTGGCAAAAATCCAGGTTCAAAAAGCACAGGTGTTGGAGCTCTTAAAAAACTCAGTATTTCTTGTGTGCTGGCTATCAGATCCTCCTTTATGACCAGAAGATCCACTCAGTATCCAGTATATTTTCTGTCATTTAGAGACTTGCTTAGCAAGACCATAGTTCAATCAGCACTGAGGTTTTGTACAGGCCACAAAATATCCTATTAATAAAAGACCATTTTGTTTATTTTGGGGGTACACATAGCTGTTTGAGGTTTAGTGACTTGCTGATTGCTGTGTTTGGGAACACCCTAGCCTCACTTTTTAAAAGTAATAAACCTTTGTCTTAGCCTTCATATACCAACTTGAGAGCTGTACTGTTCTTTTTAAAACCTCGATGCTACTTCAAGTGCTTCTTGGGTTGTGTGGGAGGGATACAGACCTGTATCAGAATTCCCCAAAAGATTCTGGCCCCTGTTCAGTCTGACCATGGAGAGATTCTCATTGCTGAGTGTCCCTTGAAACTGATTGCAGTGAGGATGTAGTAAGGCATTTACCACAGGGACAACAATCCAGAACAACATATAGGAAGAGATAAATTAGGAAATGCTTTTATGGATTTTCTTTTTTAACTTGCTAAAATAAGGTGGGACACAGAGGGGGGCGATTTCATAAACTCTTTATGAAAATCACTTTTATCAGGTGAATACAAGGTAGACTTTTTTTTTCTTTTCTTTCTAAAAGCTCTGAAAAGTGCATGAGTGCCGATAGATCACAGTATATGATATAAAAAAAATGCTCAGAAAAAGTTATGAATGGGCAAGGTCCAAATAAAATGTAAACTAAACAAAATGGTCTTGTATTAATAGGATATTACATAGCCTGTACAAAAATATCTGCTTTATTTTTAGTTGTTAGTCATACACACTGACATCATTTGTGTGTCTGCCACTCATGAGAGAAGGACCATGGTTGTTGTAAAAATAAACCTGATATCTCTATTTGTACAGGTTTTATTATGAAAACATAAATGAGAAAGAGCTAGCTTCATTCCCCATTGAAACATTTTTAACATATTTTGTTTCTTTTTAATTTTATACCTAAAAGTCCACAGCAATAAACCTGGCTTAATCCAAACACACATACATACATATATATAAAGTACCTGCAAAATTTATTTTAATCATCTTTTGTATTGCTAGATATAATTCTTAAACTGTAAGTCAAATGGCATTTTTGAAACAAAACCCAGAGATATGAAGAGAAGGTAATGTTTGTAAGGGCTGTGTGAGTGAAGAATGAATAGTTTTCTGTATCATGAAGACAAAGTGATAAGGAAGAATCTGTGCATCCCTGTGAAGGTGACCTGTGGTTTAAATCTGTACTTGTATACCTTTTCGTGAAGTTAACAGATGCTACTTCTGTTCATAACTCAACAAGGAGCAGACAATCTTCAGTCTCTTAGAAACAAAACAAAACAAAAGTGCTTAAAAAAAACACAAACTGTTTTATTAGAGCACATCTGAAATGGACACAAATGATCCATTAATGACCTGGAAAGAAGAAATAAAATTCCCAAAAAAATAATCAGATACTTTGAGAGTTTCAGACTCCTCACCCTGCTCACAGTTTTGTTCTTTATGTTTTTCTATTATTATATGCTTTTATTACAGTTTTTTCATTTTCCACATGATGTCTAGTTATTCCTTCTAATTTTTCATGTTCCCAAACTGTGGTCTACTGTGTCCTACAACTGTAGGACACTGGTCTTCTATTTTTATGTTCATCTCTTATTTTTGTTGCCCAATATCACCATCTCTTCTGTTTCACCTAGAAGGCAAATGCAGGGGCCAGTTCTGGAAAATGTTTGGTTTCTTTAATCGTTACTGTGATTAAAGAAATTTTCTAGTGTTCACTATCTAGTGAAAAATGGGGAGCTATTTCAGTGTCTCAAATATGCTCCAATGTAGACTTTTTTGGGAATCTTGTCAGATGCCAC